CAGGCCAGCGGTCACTCTTTCAGGGATGAAGATGTTCACATCCTGGATAGAGAGGAACGATGGTTTGAGAGAGGAGTAAAGGAGGCCATCTTTGTGAAAAGAAATCGTCCATCGTTAAACAGGGGTGGAGGCCTCCGGGTTCAACTGTCCCCCTCTTACAATGCTGTGATTGCTAGTATCACTCAGCCCTCTGTGAATAGTAAACAGCCATCAGTGTGCTAATGATCCATTGTTAGGCTGATGGTCCTTCTTGAGCATGTGATCAGCTGGTTTTGGTTGTCAGCAGCAAAACTGGTTGATCCACTCTGAGACGGTGCTATTTAAGAGACTGAGCTGAATACAGCACCTCAGACTGAGGAAGTCTCTCGGATGAGAGACGAAACGTTTCTACATTTTTTTGTTGATTTGCTTTGTTTTGTTTTTTTGAATGTCCAGAGGACCAGATTTAACTTTTTTAGATTCTCAAGTGGTGTTTTGCGTACCTTATTATTTACATGCATTTAAATAATTGAAATCTGTAGGAGCAGCAGCTAGCTGTAGCACTTCCAGTGATGCCTGGGGTATTTCTGGTGGGAATTATACAATATTTCTGCCTAAAGAACCAAGCAGTGAGAGAAATATTAAACCTTTACACTGCAACTTAATTTAATTACACATTTTTATTGGGCAGAATATAATATTCTTGTAAGAAGTGACCCCACGCTGCACAGAAAGTGCTACAGAAAGCTGCTAATGCCATTTCTGCTTTACAATAAGCTTTAGAATTTGATGTAAATAAGTATATACAGTAGTCCCTCGCTACTTCGTGGCTCGTTTTCGCAGACTCGCTCTATCGTGGTTTTTCAAACTGGACATGACACACAACTGGCTGATTGATGGATGAGCCGCACAATTGGCTGGCATGAAATTTTTTATTTAAAATGAATTATTTTAAATTATTTAGCACCCGCTGCATCTCTGTGCAGCTCACAGCTGTGGGAGAAGCTTCCTCCTGCAGCTGATCAGCTGATCTTTGTGCAGAGCTGAGAAGTGGGCGTGGCCGAGAGTGCAGCCGGAGTCAGGGAGCTGAAATCATGACATGCTGTGCTCTTTTAGAGCATTTGGTTTAGAAACATTATTGAGAATATTGCAAGAGTGTGGGAAGGGTTTAAAACTCATATAAACTAAAATAAACTACTACTTACTACTTGTACTACTACTTACTACTATTTCTACTTCGCGGTTTTTCATTTATCACGAGGCTTCAAGGTACAGACCCCCCTGAAATAAACCAGGGACTACTGTATATATTATAAAACTGACGGCCTGTCTATGAAATAATGTTTGAGCATACAGCTGTGAAGTAGTAAAAACTGTTTAGAAGTTGACCGCAGGTCTCAATAAGCCTAAGAAAATAAAATTGAACACCTGCCCGTGCAGCTGTCACGTTGGACACAGCTAGCCAAAGCAGCTCATCGTTTATAAAAATCTACAATCATTTACCTCCTACAAGAGTGTACTGTTTTTGTGATTTGATAAATCTTTTATTCTTCACTCCTCTTCATTCAACCAAGAAGCTTTTCTCATGATCCAAGTGTCAAACGGACTTTTGTAAAATCCCTCAGTTGACGTGTAAAACACCTCTTTCATTGTGGTAAATCAAGACTTCACAGTGGTGAAGTTTCTCAGGCTTTACCTGTCCAACTCTAACGGACACGGGCAGCGGTCGGAGCTCCTCGTCAAACGTGACCAACATCCGCGGCTGCATGGCTGCTACCAGACTGTACAGAATGTAGTGAGACTTGCCCAGGATTACTGCAAGATGAGCACACAGAACCCTCAGAGTGAAGTAACGTTCCAACAGAACAGTAACAAACGGAGGAAAATAAACGCACTGTTCTTGACGTCAAGGAAAGAAACGAGCACTGTGAGCAGTCCAGCCACGGCCACCTGACTCATCAGCTGCCTGTCGCTGTGGTAGGGACAGAGCGTGAGTGTGCCTTTGCCCAGGTGAGTCAGACCCTGTGAAGGCACGAGCAACCAGGAGTCCATCAGCATTCTGACACACTCACACTTTTCCAAAAGATCACTCTAGTGTGACGCAGGCTCTTGTTCAGCCACCTACCTGTGCCAGTCGGACCATGAAGAGATTGTTGGGATCTTTGGCGTGATACTGAGCCAGCTGTCGCAGCATGGCCGCAAGACGAGCATTGTTTGTGCCTGACGAGAAAGAACAACACGCACTTTATTAAACAGTGAAGGGAGTTTGGCACATTAAGGTCTTTGAAAGAAAAAAGAAGGTGGTTTATTGAAAACATTAAATATGCCAGTGACTAAAAGGAGTTGTTAAAACACGAACAGCTTGTGATTAAGTTTGTAAAATGAAACATTACCAAATAAAACCATGGCAATTGGTAAATGTCCCTCCATTAATTAACAGTAAACAACTGTTTACCCTTGTTTTGGATGAAAAACAGCCCTGCAGCAGAAGGTTCGGCCTAATGGTTTAAATAAATGGAACAAAAAATTGAATGTTCTGCGTTTAGTTCAGCAAAGCTAAAATAATTTATGTACTTTTTTAACTACGGTAATTCAACCGCCAACTGCCACTGAAGCTGTGGATGTCCGTGTGCGAGTTCATTATCTATTGTGTTAGCAAAATATCTTCTGAACAAGTGTATGGATTTTACTGAAACTCTTAAATCACTGGATGTACTCCAGTGTTTCCCCTAAGTTACTTGTCATGGGAGGGCACTCGTCCAGTGCTCTGTGCCAACAGTTATCACCCGGGGGGGAGTGGAGTTGGAGGCAGGTGTGTGTGTGTGTCATAAGAGTGCTATGTTTGTATTGCCCACGGTTGTCGGGGGGAGGAACGGGGGTTTGAAGGCCGAGCTGCTACAATCTGTGCTCCACGTCCAAAAGTGGCAGAGCTGCATGGGGAGTGGGGGCGCTGTGGTCTACATGTACAACTGGTTTATTTTATTGAATCCCTTCAATTTAACGTTTGCCACAGCTGACTGACCGTAGACGACCAAAAAAAGTGTAACTCGTCTAATGTTATGAATAAAGAGCTAAAATTTGATGTGGTAGAAATAAAACTTGTGGTCAGACTTTGTCGTTAAACACAACAATCATCTTCTTCTTTTTGCTGCTCTTCTTCAGGGGTCACCACAGCCAACTAACTCACACGAAGACTTGGTGATTGTTTTTACGCTGGATGCCCTTCCTGACACAACCCATAAACTCCATCATCAACCCTCAAACTGTACGTTTACCTGTAAAAGGTGATTGCAGTGATACAACTCCTACAGCTTGATACTAAAAGGCTGTTTTGCTTTGATACAATTTTATTTCCAAACAGAGCAAAAAGTTTCTTACACAGAGAAGATTTTATGTTTTGGAGGAAAAATATAATTGGAGACATACCTTTGCTATAATACTGGGTATACAAATATACGTCTTTTAATATCAATATTGTTTATTCAAGAACTAGAGCAGCAGAAACAGCCAGTCATGCTGAGAGAGACATTCAAACAGGCTGCGCGCACTCTGTCTGCTAGGAGGAGTTTGGTTACGTTTAAAAGTTGGACATGTCTGTACGCTTATGATGATGCTTTACAATGTAACAGTTCAGTTACAGGTAGGCCTGTCGCGATAAACAATAAATCAATTAATCACATGATGAATGAAAATTATCGACCTCATTTTCATTTATCAGCTTTATCGTTTCTTCGTGTCTCTCTCTTTCTACTGAAGACACTGGATGACAAAAGTTTCAACTCCAGAACTATTCACTGACCCCTCCTTTTCTCTTTAAAATCAGTTTTAACCATCCAAAATTGCGTTTTTGGATGGTTAAAAGCAGCTATGCTGAGAAGCTAAGCTACGAGCTAAGCTAACAGGCTGACCTGGGGGAAAAAACTCAGTTTTGTCGAAGCTACAACATTCACAGTTGAAACCCGTGCCTTTGTGTAAAAAGTTGTTTTTTCTCTGCAAAAAGAAGCTGAGAACTTGTTTACGGATTTTTTATTAAAAACTTAGTGTGAAAAATGCTAAAGAGCTCAAACCACAACACATCTGCAGTGGAAGTGGTCTCCAGCTACAAGTACTTGGGTGTACATATGAATTACAACCTCAGCTGGAGCAACAACACCACCAGCCTGATCAAGAAAGCTCATCAGAGGCTTTACTTCCTCAGGCGGCTGAGACGAGTTGGTCTGGGAAGCTCCTACAGGTGTGCAGTGGAGAGCATCCTGTGCTCCAGAATCAACGTGTGGCGTGGAGGCTGCACAGCTGCAGAAAGAAAAGCTCTGCAGAGAGTGGTGAAGGCTGCACAGAAGATGTTGGAGTCAGTCTCCCCACTATCACAGACATCTACACGTCCAGATGCAGGAAGAGGGTCACCTGCATCAAGAAGGACCCCACTCACCCAGCATACACACTTTTTGCCCCGCTCCCCTCAGGAAGGAGGTTGAGGAGCATTAAGTGTAGAACCACTAGACTGAGGAACAGCTTCTACCCTGAAGCTGTTAGACTCATGAAACTCTAACCAGAATAATCACTGTGAAAAACCACATCATGTTGCTGCTGATCTGTTTCAATGTTGATGTGTTCACTCGTACTCATCTGCTCACAGACTCGTGTTTGTGCTGCTGTTCGACGTATTGTGTTTGTGCTATTAGTGCTTAGTTTATATTTAGTTGATGTTTTTCTTAGTTCATATCTTAGATCTTATTACTGTTTTTCTTTTACATTTTATTGTTGGACATAACTGGGGCCCTGTGTACAAAATTTCGTTCCACCACATGTACCACATGTGTGTACCACATGAATGACAAAGAAACTGACTCTGACACTGAGCGTCCACCATTTTGAGAACAAAAAAAAAATGGGAAAAAAATGGAGACAGTTCATGTCACATCAAGGGGCCTCCCTCCCATTTTTCTTAAAGAGTCACAGTGCTCGCTCCCTCACTATCCATCCTTTGGTTCAAACAGTCTTATACTGCCATCTGGTGGTCGAAAAAAAGTACTACACTCAAAACAAAATAAACATTTTGTCTTAAATTTGACAATAATGACTAATTATTGCCAAATTTCAAATACTATCGTTTATCGCAATAATTTCTGAGACAATTAATTGCCCAGCAAAAGTTGTTATCGTGACAGGCCTATTTATATGTTCTCAGTGAAGTTGAGGTGCGGTGCGAGAGATGGGGGTGATAATGTGTTTGCTTTGTTGTCTCTCTTGACAGATCTTCCAATAATGCATGAAATCTCACACAATATTATTTATTAGGTTTGACTAAAGTGGCTCTAACCTCATCCCTTCTCAACATGAGATAATTTTAGTTTAAAAATCTTTGGCAAGGATGGCGACAAGCAAGATGCATTCCTTCAAGGAATGTTAGCCGTAACTTTTTATTTTCATTTTATATTTAAACTTCAGTTCATTTACAGTCAAACAAAGACTTCTGGACATCAGAGCCTCTGAGGCAGTACCCAAAACTGAGTACTGTTTGTCAGCATGTGTGAATTTTTATTACTAACGTTGACACTTACCACTGCCCACCATTCCCATGGCAAAGATGGAGTTGTGGGACACCTCTGGGTCAGCATCATGAGAAAACTTGCTAAGAGTGTCCAAAATGTTAAGACGAGGGTTGGACACAGAAATGAGAGCCAGGGCCAGGGGTACGGCTCGTCTCAGGGTGGGCTCACCATAACGGAGCTGCAGAAACAAAAAAAGTGTAAATGAGAGGCAAAAACAAAACTCAGAAACAAAGACTGGAAAAAGTAAAAAAAAAACAACAAAAAAACAATTCTAACTAATGTGACAAAAATACAACAGTTAATGCACCTTAGCATAAGACAATGCAGGAGCAAAAAAGATTGGTAGTGAGACTTGTAACAAGTAAACAGAGAAGAGAAAGTGGTGCGACTGACCAGATGTCCAAATGTTCTCAGTGCCATCTCAGAACCAATCTCCTCCCCCATGGCAATCAGAGCAATGCCAAGAACAGCCACACCCTGAGAAGAAGAGCCTCACATCAGCTTGTGTTACACCATCATAACACACACAGTTAACTGACCTTTGTACAGACACTCATGCTCAGTAAGTATTTTGTGATGCCTACGTCTGGTTCGTGGACAAACACATTGTCTCAACAGTGTCCAAATAAACCTGTGATGAATCTGTGCTCTGCAGTCATTCCAACACCCAGCAACAGTGGTGGGATGTAACGTACTTAGCTATTCATATTGTCATATCTTTAGATATGATTCACATCACCATTTAAATCACATAATGTCCAGATAGCTTCATTTAGCTCAGATAGCTTCATTAAATCTCCCACCTCTAACAGAAACACTGTTTATTATTGTTACTGTTATTATTTAGTACTTTAATATGTTATTCTCCAGCGCAATTCGTGAAATATACGCCTGTCTCGACAGGCTCATTAGTGATTTGGAACGTGATCCGACTGGCGTCTCTTCCAACACAGATGTCGGTCACAGCAGCTATATTCGGCCGTAGAATAATTACGAGACTCAAAATATATTCCATCATTTGTAGCACAGAAAGCAGCATGTTATACTCTGCCTCCATTATTCATAGAAATATGCCGTTGGTCCACGCATGCGTGAAATTACGCCCGTAGTGCGCATGTGCTTTAACATTTCTGCTGGACTTTTGACACCTCTGCAGGCGGATTTCCAGAAAATCTCCACTGAGACCTGGGTTGAAAAACCTCTGGATTCAGCGGGGGGGGGGGGGGGGGGGGGGGCATGTGTCATGTAAATGAACAGCTGAACAACAGAGAGAAAGTATCCTGATGAAATGCTCAATAATCCAAATAGAAAAATCTAAAAAAAGTTAAATCTGGTCCTCTGAACATTCAAAAAACAAAACAAAATACAACAAAAAAAAAAAAGAGAAAGGTGCAGTTTCACTTATAATGTACGTCGTGTAAACAGCTCATAAAATTCACGTTCAGCACAGATGAAGCAGGGATCAATACTGTGCAGAGTATTTTGCTGAACACAGCATGGTGAGTTTATTTTAACTGATCTGGAAAATAAATCAATAATTAATTCTCTTCAGTCCTCCAACCTGCTTGTCATTAACTACGTGCCTCTCAAGTTTACAAGCTAACATTTAGATAACCTAGCATAGGCGATTGCCTTGTAAAACTTGATCCAGAACAATAAATCTAATGTAGCAGTAAATATATATCAGTGTTAGAAACATTATCTTTGTTGTCCTCAATGAAATACATTGTTCATCTGAAATCTTTACTTGTCTGCAAAGAAAAAAATTAACAACACTGTGGCCAATACAAATTAGACCTTCACCATACATGACTGACAATTGAAACAATAAACAGTGAAGTGTGTTTCTTTATTTAATTCATATTTTTGCAACACACTTGATAACTTTATGGTGAATAGTGGAGGATAGAAAGTATGAACGCACGTTAGGAAGACCGTTTCAGACTTCAAGTGTTAAAACAGGTTAAAAAGTAGCTGTTAGATTATTGGGGGAGGACAAAACTAAAAAAAAAAATTCAGCCTTTATATCGGTTATCGGCATGAACCTCCCCTCCCAATATAGATATTGGCGATGGTCAAAACTTCCATAGTGGTCGGGCTCTAGTTTAAAATAACTTTGATCTCAAAAATTGTCATGAATTTAATTTTGATTACTAAAGCCTGAAAATATGTAATTCAGTGAGCTTCTCAAACTTAATGCCTAAAGACAAAAAATGCCAGCCACAGAAGAAATAATGGCCTCATCCATCTTTGTCTCCATGCACTCACACAACGTGGTGCATTTTTAGTGAACCTCAGACGTGGGAGAGTTACATCATTAATCATACATCAAACACAAGCCTGACTGGAGCTCCTTATTTTTTGTCTGTCTCACAGATTAAATTGAACAATTAAGATCTTAAAAGTTAGAACTTTTGAATTCCTGATTGGACTTGAATGCGCTTCAGTTCTTATTTTGTTTGAGGAACCTGGGTCAGTTTGTCCAACAACCCAACGAATGTGCTTAAAAGAGAGGTACAGCACCACCATCAAGCTGAAGATGAGAACAAACAAATGAAACCACCAGTCTTGTATGTTTTAATCAGGTTGGTGTCTGCTGGTTGGGCTCATGTTTAGGTACACCTTGTAGTAGTTCTAATATGGGACACACGGTGTAGGACCAAGAACACACGAAGAACAGTGTAAAACAATGGAGCAGCTAAACTGGCTGCTTTGATCAAATGGTTAAAAAAGTAACTCCTGTACTGTAATTCAGTTGAACTCAGATGAAAACTTGTTTAAGACATTTCATCAAGACCCTGGGAATTTGTTTTACTTACTAAAATGGGTATAATAAAGTCTTCTTAAAGTCTTTACCTGATGGGAACCCATGTCAGCTGCAGTGTCCTTCTTGTCTTTGTCTTTTTTGTCCTTTTTGTCTTTGTCCTCCTCTTTTTCTTTTTCCTTGGCTTCGTAGTGCTCGCTGCAGATGTGAAGAAGTTGCTGCACCTTCAGCACATTACCAGAACCTACAGAGAAGAGAGCACAGCTTTTCAGTGTTTCAAGCAGCAGGCTGGTTTAAAGACATTGACATCTGGATGAGTGCAGGTATGACAGTGCAGTTAAGAGTTAATTTTTGCTGCTCCGAGGCTCACCTGCATAAGCACAGATGTCCACTAGTGTGTTGGCAAAGCTGCGAAAAGGTTCAGGGACAACTTGTAGAGCTGCCAGGGTTGTTTCAATTGCTTCTCCTTTGCCTAAAGATAAAAAAAAAATCACAACTTGTTTAAAATGATTGAGAAAACATGTCAAACGGTGTTTATTTTATTATCCTCATGCAATGTCCTTACTAACCCAGGTGGTTTAGTCCTAAACCAAGAGGCAGCCAGCGAGCGTATGTGTCTTTCAACTCCTGCTCGTTCTTCTCCATGATGGTCTGGACGATGGTGGATGTCACATCACCGTTACATGAACCCACAGCAATCATACCACACGCCAGTGCCGTCACTCCAACCACCTGGAGGTTGTACACACACTTACATGATGCTGAACTGAACCTTGGGTGGGAGAAAACAAAGACTCACGATGAAACACAATCGTACCTCCATGCTGGATTTGGAGTCTCCCATGACAGGAAGTAGCAAAGACAGGACATCTTCTCTGTTGGAGCCAGCGTAGGCCAGACCCAACCTGAAACCAAGAAAACAGTCATCAAGACAAACTGGTATCAGCCTTCAAATCGAGCACATGAAACCACTTCATGAGGCTCAATGAAGGACCAAGAAACAAAGCTCGGTCACAGCACAAGGGCTTCACCATGTTTATTACAACATGTAAACATCCTCACCCAAAGATGGCGCCTATCCTCATGACGTTGCTGTTGTGGAGAACATAATCAGAGAGTAGAGCGAGAGCAGGATCACACTCGTTCCTCACACCTGAGTTTACAATGCCGCAAGCGAGGAGGGCACCAGACTGAAGGCAGATGGATGAAACGGGTTTTAAAAGAAAGAAAAACCCCAACACATTTTTGTTAACACCTTTTCCTCCATTACTAAAGTCTGAAGAACTACTTATGCGAGACCAAAGTCAAAACCATGATTTGGAAAAGAGACAATTTTATCATTACAATAAATACTAGAGCCTGACCGATATATCGGGAGGGGGCGATATAGACGTTTGGGGTTTAATCGATATCGGTGATAATTGTCCCATTATGGATATAAGCACTTCTAATTATCACTCCTAATATGCTGGAACCAGCTGTAATTGTACAATATATCCAGCAGAGGGCGCACGTAGACTACTTTCAAGTCATGGCCTTAACTTTCACTTTTGCCCTTCAGCACAGATGAAGCAGAGAACAATACTAGCTGCATATTTTTTTGAAGAGCATGATAAGTTTATTTTAACTCATCTGTAAAAAAATAAAAATCAACAATAATAAATTATCTTCAGTCCTCCACCCCGCTTGTCATTAGCTGCATGTGTCAAGTCAGCAAGCTAACGTTAGTGTTCAGTTGTACCGCCTTCACGACATTAGCCTCGTTGTCAGTAGTCATGGCAACCAGTCCTGTCAGACTGAACTTGCAGTTTGTAAGGATATCCGGTGTTAGTAACTTTATCTTTAAATGCATCGTTTGTCTGAAATCTTTACGTCTCTCTGCAAAGATAAACAAACTCTGTTGCGGTCAATACTACGGTAATTAGGCCTTCATCATACGCGATTGTTTAAACAACAAACAGTGAAGGATGTTTCTTTGGTTAATTTATTTATTTAAGTGTAACACATTTGATAACTTTATGGTGAATAGCGGAGGACAGAGAATGTGAACATGTTTGAAAGACTGTTTTTATGACCAGTGCACCACTGGTAAACCTACTGTGGGATTAAATAAAGCGTGGATCTGATTAGCTTAGCTTCTCGGTTGCCAACAGCTGCGCTAGATAAAGCAGCCCCGCTCCACTTGACTTTGAAAAGCTTGATTTGTGAATACAGTTCAGGGATAAAATCAATGCTATTCACGTTAGCTTTTCTATGGCATGTTCAATGTTGCGTTAGCTTGAGAGCTAATTGTTGGTCAGCAGTCTTGACATTATAAAGTTTTATGAAACGTTATGTGCACTTTTTATTAGGTATGAAAATATATGAACCACACTTGATTTTACAGTACTTAGTAGTTTTAGCTTGTATATTTGTGTTTCTGTCTGCATATTAGTTTCAGTGTTTTAGATAAACACCGTGAGCTTCCCAGCTGTCTCCTGATGTTTACTCACAAACATAATATTGCAGAAAATCAAGATGCAAGAATATTTGTTTTATAATCGCATCACAGCCCTCTGAATTGAATAATGAGGTGTGTAAAGAATCCCAACACAAGTGGCCGCTGACTGTTAGCCATGTGACTAACATGTTCATCTGATTTCAGGTATTCAACACCGATGTCAATACTGTGATGGCTGGGTACAAATACACGAACCGTTGAATAATTACTGAAACAGTATGAATAACTACTGATAATAATGTTGCTCAAGTGTTTAAATGTTGCACTTGTCAAGAATTATTCATCGTTAAGCAACATAAAGTTAAGCCTAAACTGATGATACCTTGATATAGTCTTCAGAAGAGTATAGGTATTTGTCAATCTGAGTCAGACCACCGTCCACATCCCACAGCAGGATCATGCCCAGAGAGGCAGCAGCACTCAGCATGCCTGTGGACAAATAACCAACTGTTGTAACAGCAAGAAAAGGCAACAACAACTGAATGAAATTAGCTTGAATCTCAGACGTATGGTGCGTTTCTCTACCGTGGTCTTTGTTCTTGTAAAGCCACTTGTTGCCATCATCTGTGAGCAGCTTATCCTGTCCGAAGGCTGCATTAACAAAGCCGTTCACGAAGGAAGAGGCCAGGTTCATACGGGCCGAGTCCACCTGGGAGCCGCTGCCTCCAAACCCTGTAACGTGCACCACAGAGGTGATGCAACACATTGTTCTTTGGCAAACACATGTCATCAAACCAACTGCTACTTTGACTTTAAACTAGACTTTTATTAAATTTATTCATGATGAGTATGTTTGCCACCAACTTAAAGACTAAATCAAGCCACACAGACTCACTGTTGTTTTCCAGGTGTGTTTTGTAGATGTCGTCTGGGACTTTGGGTTCTATGATGTCCAACTGGAAGGCACAAAGTGGAACGTGTTGAGACATCACACTGAAGTAAAAGCTACAGACATCCACCTCACACTATGAATCATGCAACATTGTTCTCCAAGTGTCACTGGTGAACGCTGTATTAGATCATGTCCCTTAAACTGTGACAGCCACCTGGTCTTCACCACCGTCTGTTGTTTATTAACCATAGCACTGGTTTATTGTTGGCCTGCGCAATACAAAGGACAAGTCCAATATTGTATATTTGTATAAGGTTTTAAAGATGAATCTTGTACACATAGACAGGTGGTATTCAGTCTGAGAATATTAAATATAATTGAACAGTTTGAGAATAATGTTCCTGTCTTTGAATGTACTGTTCCCTACAGTTCTTAATATCTTCATAAGATTTCAAGACGTTGTAGAATCTGAATGGGTTCAGGAACATTTCCACAAATCGCTGTCTGTGAACACAGTTCACTGTGCCTTCCACAAATGCGGGTTAAAGCTCTGTCGTGGCAACAAGAAGACCTGTGTGGACATCTTTCAGGAATACCAGGACCTTCTCTGGGCCAAAGCTTTTATAAAATGGATTGAGCCGAAATGGATAACTGGTTTATGGTCAGACAAATAAAAATTAGAAATGTTTTTGTGAACCACACGTTTTTTATACTAAAAGAGAGAGAAACAATCCATTCTGTTATCAGCACAGTTCAAAAGCCTGCCTCTCTGATGATATAGGGGTGCATTAGAACCTTTAGACAGCTTACACATCTGTAAAGGCCAATCAATGCAGAAAATTATATACAAATTTTAAAACAACGTATCCATCCAGCAAAAATAAATAAATAATAAAGATGACTCAGGACTGCTGAACAGCTAGAACATCAGACAGGAACGGGACAACGTTCACGCTAAAACAGTTGTCGTTTGGTCTGTTCTCATATGTTCACAGACTTTTGTTACAGGAGGGCGACTCAGCAGGAAACACTTTGCCATTCTGATAAAATATGGTTTTATTAGATTTGTAAGCCATTGCATTGATTTTTTTTTACATTTTGCACAACTTTTTGGGGATTGGAGTTGTAAAATCTAAAATAATTTAAAGTGGAAGATTTCCATGCCTCCTGTTGTGTGTGCCGTGTTGTTATGCTTGCTGTGTCAGCACCCGTTCACCGTGTTGATAATCTACGTTCCTTCCTGCTTGAAGAAATGAAATGATTTCTAAACGTTACATTTGTACAACAGACCACGTCAGCACTGACATCTGTATTTCAGTTTAACTCACAAACAGTAGTGCTGGCTTCATGCACTGCTCTTGCTACAATATTTGACGGGGGTGTGGGGGGTTATACTGTGTTTAAATGACGGAGTGCAGGCTGCCCTCTGCACACCATATTTATTAAGTACAAGTTGATACTGCATTCTTACTATTTGTGATCTGCAGCAAAACATCAATGAACCAAAATTTTAACTTAAAATCAGATCATTCACAGCTTTACGGCACATTTTATTGAACCAGACTGATTGATTAGTTTTGTATTGGTTCTTTGCCTCTTTTTCCACCACACACAGTTTCTGACTGGTCAACCTGTGGTTGCCGTTCCTTTTGCACCCACGTCCTGGGTGCAAGTCCTGATATAACGACTACATTAATAATTGTGGGTGCCAATTTGTGTTGATTGAATTTACACTTCTTGTATCCAGTTTTTAAGTTGTGCATAAATAAATACCTTCAGTATAAATGTTTTTGTAATAAGTTCTGTTCATTTTAAAGTCAAGCAAAGCAAAAATATCATCACTTTCTGTTAAACGTGTTGCTTTGTATTCTGTTGTTTTCTACCTCTCTGGCCAGAGCCAAGAAGTTGCTGTTGAGCTGCACGTTGGACATGATCTCCGTCAAGTCCTCATAGTCCTCCACGTCTTCATTCAGCTCCAGAAACACACCATGACGGCCCAACATGAAGGCCATTTGTTTCTGGATGACACTGAAAAACACCATCCATTAAGAGCGACAGAGTGTGTTAGAGGAAACTAATAAACAAACGACTTGAATATTTCAATACCATAATAATGATTTTTTTTAAGTCTGCACTATAACAAAAGTTTAAAAGTTCTACACTTCGTGTTGTATTTGTGCCACATCACCCAGAGCTTTCTGCCTTACAGTCCTTACATGTCTTTGCAGGAAGTGAAGATGTTTTCTACCAGCTCCATGTCGTTGAGCATCAGGGCGAGGCGCATGGCCTCTGGGTGACGGTTGAACTTCCTGAAGATGGTCAAGGCACACCTCAGCAGCGCCGAGTTCTCTGGTTCAGGAACGTAACTCACGCAGCTATAAAGAAAGGCAAAGACTTACAAGACATGCTGATGTTTCATATAGAGTTAGGCCCCAAAACATGTTTTTATCTATAAAATATAGTTTGTGCTTTCGGAGAAAAAATAAATCCGTAAAAACCTTGTGAGGTAAAGGCAAACTTTGCTGTAAGCGTTTTCATCAATGTAGTCCTCTAGCATGTCCAGCCTCTCGATCTCCATCAGCAGGTCGCAGGCCTCATGCTCGGCATTGTGGGCCATGTTGTAGGGAACAATCTCCTTCACAAGTTTCATGAGCATCTCCTGCTGGGTCTTATCACTCTCCTCCACCTCCTGCCACTCTTTAGCCACCTCACCAGCAAGGTGCCTGACAGACCCAGAAGAGACAGGAAGTTATGACCAAGAACAACAGAAACAGAAATCCTGTTCTTTAAGACAAGAAAATGATTTTATTCCAAGTGTCTGCACACATTTTACAATGACCGTCTCATACTCTGTGTATTACTGCTTCACTGTACTCCTACTGCTAGTAGAGAAATGTTGCAATTTATCAAAATCCAAAGTAAAATCTTTTATTTTCTTCGTGAAAGTTGTCTATAAAAAAGCTGATGAAGCCACACTGACGCTCAAGCTTGAGGTACAACAGTTTACCTGACATATTCGTGTCCCCAGGAGGCCAGCTCCTCCTGAGAGCCCAGCAGACGGTACTTCAAACACTCCCTCTCACTGCTCATGGTCATGGCCAGCACTGACACCACATCAGCACAGAATTGCTAAAACAAAGAAACAATAAACCACGAGTTTAACATCATTTATGAAGGTGTTCTGAAGGAAGACATGTTGGGTAGAGTGATCAATAAATATTTATCAACACTGCAGTTTGAGTCGGGACTCCACTGCAACAATGGAATAAAAGTAATCGAATGCCACTAAAACATCTGAAGATACCAGCATTTAATAGGCCTGTCACGATAATAAATTTTGCTGGGAGATTAATTGTCTCAGAAATTATTGCAATAAAATATTGTTTGAAATTTGACAATAATTAGTAATTATTGTGGGCAGCACGGTGGCGCAACTGGTAGAGCTGCTGCCTCTCAGCGAGCAGGTCCTTGGTTCAAACCTCGGTCCAGGGGCCTTTCTGGGTGGAGTTTGCATGTTCTCTCCGTGCATGCGTGGGTTTTCTCCGGGTACTCCGGTTTCCTCCCACAGACCAAAAACATGGATGTTAGGCTGATTGGTAACTTTAAATTGTCCCTAGGTGTGAATGAGAGAGTGAATGGTTGTTTGTCTCGTTTGTCTCTATGTGGCCCTGTGATGGACTTGCGACCCGTCCAGGGTGTACCCCGCCCCTCGCACAGTGATTGCTGGACATGGGCACCAGCGACCCCCGTGACCCAAAATGGAATAAGCGGGTAAAGATAATGGATGGATGGATAGTAATTATTGTCAAATTAAGAAGAAATGTTGGTTAATTTGTTTTGCATGTAGTATCTTCTTTTGACCACCGGATGGCAGCATAAAACTGTTTGAACCGAAGGATGGATAGTGAGGGAGCGAGCGGCGTGTCTCTAAGAAAAATGGGAGGGAGCCCCCTTGACGTGACATGGGCTGTCTCTACTTCCTTCTTTTTCAGTTCTAAAAATGGTGGACGCTCTGTGTGGTTTGAGCTCTTTAGCATTTTTCACACAAAGCTTTTAATTAAACATCAGTAAACAAGTTCTCAGCTTCTTTTTGCAGAGAAAAACAACTTTTTACACGAAGACAAGTTTAAACCGTGAATTTTGGAGCTTCGACAAGACGGAGGTTTTTTTCCCCCCGAGGTCGACCTGTTAGCTTAGCTTCTCAGCTTAGCTGCTTTTAACGATCCAAAAATGTGATTTTTGACAGTTACAACCGTTTTTAAAGAGAAAAGAGAAAGGGAGGGGTCAGTGAAGACCACCGGAGTTGAGATTTTTGTCATCCAGTGTCTTCAGAATAAAGAGAGAGACACGAAGAAATGATAAAGCCGATAAATGAAAATTAGGTAGATAATTTTCATTTATCATGTGATTAATTGATTTATTGTTTATCACGACAGGCCTAGCATTTAAAATAAAAAATTATGTGAATGAAGCCAAAAAGCTCCAGTTTTGTCTCATCAGTCCCAGAACTTTGGGCCATGTCAATGTTGGTGAGTTCCTGTCCAGTGTTTCCACTACCATTATGCAAGCGGGGTGCCCCACCCCGTCAACAAAAATGAGCACGCCACCTACCAAACTGACCCCCCCACCCGGCACTGACATAATGCTAAGCTAGCGGCGCGCAATACAGAGCTCTAGCTAAAAAGCTAAAGGTGTCTCTTCCCTCATACTGAACGCCCCCCTCCCCACCATTGCTCAAAAACTGTTGGTACAAGCTGTGCTCGGACATGTTTCCGTCTGGATTATTGAGCATGTACTTTGTTGGTTTTGAACCAGTTTGACATGACTGTTGACGAGGGAGAGGGCTGGCACCGGAGGAGAGGGCGTGCCAAAGAGACCATCTTAGCACCAACATAACTAGTTTGTTCCACTTTGGAGTAAGCTGTTGGGGGAAGAATCAGTTTTGTGTTGTGTTTCCTTGACTGATGAAGCCTTCTGGATGGAAGGGGAAATGTTTCAGAAAAAAAAAAAAAACTGTCCAGATGACCCGATTGAAAATTGTTGGATATGAAGTCTGTATTTTATTTTGAGTTAAAGATTAATACACTATGTATGACAGGCTGTTTACTTTTGTATTTATATATTTTGAATTATTCGTCTGTGATGGACTGGAGACCTGTCCAGGTGTCCCCAGCCTCTTGCACAGTGATGGCTGGATATGGGCACCAGTGACCCGAAAAGGAAGAAGTGGGTAAAGATGATGAATGGATGAATTATTTGTTCCTAGATTTTTATTTTAGAAAAATCCAGGTAGCTAAGCTAACCTAATACTGGTAATTTAAGTTACAGAATTTTATGCACTCCTATATTTGTTTCTGATTTTGGTATAAATATAAAATGATGCAAAAAGATTTGATGCAATAAAGAACCTAAAATTATTGTTTTAAATAAATGTTGTATTTGTTTACATTGTTGTTTAATCTTTTCAGCTAGTCAGTTACATAATTGAAACAAAATTTATGACCATTTCAATAGAAAAATCATTTCTGAATCGAAAATAATTTCTGAATCTTATCGACACACACAAACACACACAAAAAAATCTGAATCCAATCCGACACTGAGATCTGCACCCCTAATCCTCAAACACATTTTAATTTATGGACATCATAGAGGAAGGCTTACCTTGTTCTCTCCAGGAGCCATGCCCTCATAGATGTCTTTCAGTTTGCCATAATGTGGGCGCAGGAATTTCAGAGGCTTAGGTACTGAGGTCATGGAGGTGGTTGAGGAGCGAATCAGTCTGCGCAGCTCTTCTAAGGCAGAGTGGTGCAGCGATGTGTTCTTTTCCTGTAAAAAAAAGTAAAATGCTCTTTAACCTTGTTAGGAATCTCACATCCTGGCACACAGAATTAAAGAAGTGTGTCAACACTTACACTCAACCTCTCCACCATCATCTCCAGGTCTTCCTGTAACTGCTTGTCTTCCTCTGACTGAGCATTTGTAAGAAAATTTGAGATTTGATGTATCAGACAGAACAAGACAGCTCAACAGAATTACAAAAAAGTGAAACTGTGCAACATACACAAACAAAAAAAGTTTTATTGAAATGAAAATACATAGAACAAGCATCACAAATTTCCTACATTTATATAACAACAAGGATAAATTATAATATACAAATAAAACAAATACACAAAAGCCAATATGACAAATGTGAACTTGAGAGCAGGCCAGTTTATATTTATAGCACATACACACACACACACAAGAATTGTTATTGAAGGCCCATACCAGTCCTAGGTATGAAAACAGATGTGTTTCTCTGGTCTATGGCCACTATATTATCAGTTAATAGAAAGTTAGGGGTCAGGAGGATCCCATTATGGGTCTTTCCACACTAAGTGTGTGTGGGTGGTGGTGGGTTGGGGTTACTAAGAGAATACAGAGAAGTCAAATAAGCCTAAAATGGTTAGAGATTAAAATAACATTTTTAAATAAATGAAAGCAGCATAATGGTACTTGAGTTTGTTTGTGTTGGCTTTATGCTTGTGTGTTTGGCCTATAAGCAATGTTTGTATGCTTAAAACCAGTCAAACATGTCTGGATTGTTGTTTTTTGGGTTGGAAGCTAAAAAATTATATTTCTGATAAATGTGTTCATTTGGGCATTTAATGTCTGGCTAGCTTTACTTTGTCATAAGACACGTAACTTGAAAGGCAAGTAAACAGAATTTAAACATTTATGACCTCATTACAAAAGTATTAGACTATTTAAGGGTCATATTTACATTTCGTGTGTTTATAAATACAATAATTTACACAAATAACACTATTTCACATAATCTGAGAAATTGTCCATAATTGCATTAAATCGCACACAGACAAACTAAACAGCTGCTATACTCGCTGATATGTTAATGTAGATTAAATATAGTTGCTCAGTCGATTATTTACATCATAGTGAGCTCCTTGAGGCTGATGGTTTTAAGTTTACCTCTGATGACAGTCCGCTCAGAACAAATGGGAAGCTGACATTAGCGTGGCCGGAGGCTAGGCTAACTGGGCTAATAATGAAAAATAATGTGTTCAAATGTTAAGAGGCAAAAGCAGTAACATGTTATGGGTGTAATGTTCACAGATAGCGAAACTTTAAGCTCACAGATTAGCTTTTTGTTAAATGCCAACAATTTCGGCCTACACAGTAATGTCACAGCGGCAGTGACTCAGCTTCAGTTCATGTCTAACGCGAAGCGTTAGTTTAGATAGCGCTTCTTGAATGAGAAAAATGCTCAAACTTACCAATTCCTGCTCCTCTTTCTTTTCCTTATCTTTTCCAGAGGACTGCCCTCCCTTTTCCTTATCCTTTTCTTTCTCATCGCTTTTTTCTGATTGTTTATTCTCTTTCTTTTTTGACTCTTCCATCGTTGCGAGCGGTGGTTAGCAAAGGAAACTCGTCTACTGTAAAGTTCTTCTTCTTCGCTGCAAACATTTCCGGGTGAGTTGTCTTTAGCGCCCCTGCTGGCCGAGCCGTCTGCTGGTTGACCGTGCTAGTTCGCATCCCGCAAAAAAAACTAGGAAAAAAGTAGATTAAGCTCACAGGTAACCTACTGTATGTTCATGGATCAATATTAGTCATATCATACTTTAAATTCATGACAAAAATACACGTATATTTTATTTCTGTATGTTGATTACGTATAAAGAAGTGAAACACATGGTATGAAGTAGGATAGTCTTCTAATCGTTTAAAGCAGGGGTGTCAAACTCACTTGGGGCCAAAATTAAAACCTTTTTCAAACTAGGGCCAATTTCAGACTCTACATTAACTCAAATCAGATAACCAGCGTCTTTTCTTGGTCACAGGGTCCTCGACAAGAGTTTGATTGGTCTCATTTGACGTTCTCTGTTGTGCTTTTGACATCATAAACAAAGATTACTGAAACAAATTCAAACGATAAAAGTATTTTACGTTTCACATATGATCTTGGGGGCCAGATAAGATGTCAACAAGGGCCACATTTGGCCACCGGGCCTTGAGTTTGTAGTTTAAC